GGGGCATAGACAAGCGGGGCTATGGGAGGGGCGGCGGGGGACGCCTTGGAGGGAGGCATGTGGGGGGGCACGGCGTGGGAGGGACTTAGAGAGGGACGTGAAGGGACAACATAAGAGAGCGCGGGGGTACAGAGAAGGGGGGCCAGGAGTGCTCTACCACGCTGGCCACGAAGGGGAGGGGACGCTGCGAAGTGGAGGCCGCTGGGAGGACCGGCCACACACGGGGAGGGAGGTCCTGGGGATGGATGGACAGTCCGCTAGAAAGAAGGGTGTGCAGACAAGGGGGAAAGGAGTGCTGCAAGAACCCAAAGGTGGAGGCGGATGGGCGTGTGTGGAGCGCGGGAGGGCTGGGGTTGTTCGCTGGGATGACCAAAAGACTAGTGGGGGCTGCAACAGACGGGACAGGGATACCAGAGGCAGGTCGAAAACTGCCCAGGGGAAAGTGGAACCTAGGAGGCTTCAGAAGGGTGGCGGGGGTGGCTTTGGACTCGGCAGGAAGGCGCCACCACCGCCCTCTGCCAGTCCCCAGTGTGCCCCGCCCCGTCCGGGGGCCCTAAGGGCAGCGGCCCGGGCCGAGGGGGGGAGCCGAGCCAGGGCGGTACCATTCGGAACGGAGAGGGGGGCTTGGGGGGAAGGGAGGAGCCAGGGGTCAGAACCCTGTTGGGGGCGGGAGGGGGGCGCCACACCCTGGGAAAAAGGCTTGGGCACATCCAGAACGGGCCAATCAGCAGGCAAGGCCAGAGTAGCGTCAAGGGGCAGCTTCAGCCAATGGGAAGGAAGAACACTTCGGAGGTTCGGAGGAAGAAAAGGAAAAAAAAAAAAAAAAGCCCCACGAAACAACAATCGAATCCGTTTAGGGGCTCAGAAGACTGGGAGTGGGCGTCGTTTATGTCACATTGCGGCGCCTGCCCTCTGCTTTGAAGGATGGGGTGGCTTGCATCACTTCTGTGCTGTGGGGAGCAAAAGGAGCTCCGGAGGGTCCCGGCAAAGTAGACAGGGACTTGGCCACTTACTAGCGACACTTTAATTTGGGTAGTGGGTTGCGGGGAGGTGCAGCTTTGTGCTCTAGAGTAAAAGAATGTTGAGGTGTCCTGAACGGAAGCACAGGTTCCCCATTTCCCAACACTGGCTGCTGACTGAAATGTCAACTTAGCGAGCCGATTATGGACAAGCCCAAGCCAGTGCATAACTTAAAAATGCACTGAACATTCATTTCCCTTGACAGCCAGTCCCAGGTTCTTCCTGAGACTCACTTATGGTAAGGACCCACAGAGCTACCACCGCGTGACTTTGGCTTAAGTCCGCGGGGCATGGTGGCGCATGCCTTTAATCCAAGCACTCGGGAGACAGAGGCAGGGAGATCTCTGTGAATTCGAGGCCAGCCTGGTCTACATAGCGAGTTCCAGGCCAGCTGGGGCTACTGGGAGACCCTGCCTCAAAAAAAAAAAAAAGAAAGCCTAAGTTCCTGGTTCCTACTCACTAATTCACTGTGTAATATTGGATGCATCACTCTACACTGAAATCTTTGCCTAGGTACTTGGAGGTCTAAATATTTCAGAATTGACCTGGAGAGTAGTGTGCTTGATAAAGAGATCCAAGATGAAGAAGGGGTTTGTAAAAACAAATGACGTGGTGCATTAAGTCTAGGGATTGTAAATATCATAAAGCTGAAATTGTATGTAGAATACGGTACACTTGCATATTTTTCTCAGGAGTGCTTATAACTTTCAAAACATTCTCAGAGGGTCCTGTGACACAAAATGAACCTGTTTTAGCCTTGAAAGGACACGAGGGAGTCTAGGTTTTTGTCTGCTTGAGTTCGCATGGGTCTTGTGCATGCTGTCACCATTGCTTTATGTTCATATTTCCCAGGAGCCTGTAAGACTCTATTTCCATATGGTCATGCACCTCCTCCACTGGCTCTTAAAATATTCCCACCATCAGCAGGCTGGAATCTTAGTCTAAGAATCACTGGGCAGCTGATACTACTGGGTGAAGAAGAGCTGAATTTTTAGGGGCATGACTCTTGCACTGAGGGACGTCAGGGGACACTAACTTGACTTGATAAGCCTTAAATCACAGAATGTGTAAATCATAGAATGCATGAAATCCAGTGTGTATGTGTGTGTGGGGTGGCTATGGGAGGGTTGGTGGGTGCTGATGGGGAAGGGGGTATAAAGAGGACTAACATTTCATGTTGTGTATGAAATATAACATGAAAATCACATATATATGATATGAGGGATGAACCTCCATGGTAGGTCATGAAGTGGTATGATGGCTTTTTTCATAAGTTTTCTAAAATCCTTGTTGGGGATCTCAACTACAGGGGCTCTTTTCAGTTCTGGAAATTAAACCCTGGGCCTTAGGCATGCTAATCACTTGCAGCATCATTGAGCTACATCCCCAGCCCTTCATATATTGTGATGCAAAGGAAGGAAATTTTTCAGAAGTGAAAAGCCCACATTAACAACCATCTAGCTGGGTACTGCTTGAATATACTACATTGGTGAGGAACTGGCTGGATGAGTTAGAAAGGAAACAGGTTTACTTCTGAAATTGCATATCATGTACCTGTAAAAAGGGGATAAAGCCTCACTGTCTAGTTAGGAGGAAAGCTTGCAAAAGACTCTGATCTCCCAGCTTCCACCTCTGGAGTGGCAGGGATTACATTACAACCCTGATAATCCTCTACCACTCCACTTTTAGAGGTTACTGGGGAATCTAATCTGGGGCCTCTAGATATGTTAGTCTAGCACTCTCCTTACTGAGCTCCATTCCTCAAAATGACACTCTAGATAGCAGCTTGAATGAACTAGAAACTCACAGATGCCAAGAAATGATAGTCACTACTCAAGGGGCTAGATCCTTACTTCAGCAGCATCCTGATTCTATGCCCAGTCAAGGGCAGGATCCATGCTCCTTCTGGATTCAGAGGTTAAAACAAATAGTTCTTTATCAATCCCTGAGCCTAAGTTGGTATTTATGGTGGATCACAAGAGATGTGTGTCATCTGTAAGATCATGGACTAGATAAATTTCCTCCACTTTGATGACCAGTTTACATGTCTTGGTTCCCTAGATCAGTGCAATTAGAGAAGGGTAAAGGTAGGGTATCCAAAAGTATCTGATTTGAAGAAAATGATTCAAGGGGGAGATAACACAGAAAGCAGTCTGCTTAAATAGGTAAAAATGATTTTATTTCTGAAATACGACTTAACTACACAGTGTACTAAGCTGGTTTTGGAATTCACTTTGCAGCCCAGAACAACCAAAGGAAGATTAGGGTTCCCTGTCCCAGGTACCAAGATGTCACTCCTCTGACAACTCAATCATCTACAGAGTTTTTCTTCAGCTGTTTCTGGTGATGTTTGGAGAGTCTTTTTGGATTGCTCTGTAGAACAGCCAGGTCAGACCTTGAGGAAGAGCAGTAACCCACATCCTCTGCTTTTATGGGCTTGATGATATGGCCTGGCTTGGTGACAATCTTGGGTGTGGTCAGCTTTTGGAAGGCCCTCTGGGTGTTCCATGTGGACCCTATAGGGTTCTGGATGGTCCTTTCAAATTGCTTATGGTGGGTGAATGGATATGGAAGTGCCCGAACCTAGAAGGGAAAGAAGGATTCAGTGTAAGTCAGGCCTAGGGTGCAGCTGTTTACTCTAAAGGCAGCTTGAAGCAGGCATAATGGCTCATGCCTATAATGTCAGCATCTGCAAGGCCGAGGCAGGAGGTTCATAAGTTCAAGGCCAGTTTAGGTTACTCAATGAGACAGTCTTAGAAACAAAACAAGAAAACCACAAAATAAATAATAAATGTAGCTAGGCGGTCCTATTTGGCATATACCAGTTATATGACTATTACAAGGTAGGTAAGTTTGCATTTTTATGAGGCAGGATCTCACAATGTAGCCCTGGCTGGCCTGGAACTCACTATGTAGACTAGGGTGCCTCAAAAGCTCACAGAGATCCACCTGCCCTGCCTCTCCTCCAGATGAAACCTAGGATTAGAGGCAAGCACTACCACCCCTAACTGGAAGGTAAGCTTTTGGAGGCTAAAACATCCCAATATTCCCATCTAACCTTAGGAGTGCCAATCAGTTGAGATTTGGGTATAGAGGCGCTCAGAGTCGTAATAGGATACCTATACCCTCAGGCTTAGACAATGGTTTAGGCATTAAAAACCAGGGAGACTACTCCAATCTGGCTATAATAGCTCTAAGGCTGGTGACATGGTGGGTGCTCCTACACAACCTGATGACTTGTGGGAAAATAGAACCCCAGGGCTCCTGTTTCTTGCGCTGTATTCTTCTCCACTCCACTAAAGTGCTATCTTCAGATCTGAGAACACTTCCCCAATGGCTAGGAAAGAACCATAAGCAGAAAATGGAGAAATTCAAATCAACAGTTTTTGGAGGGAGTCAATGGAACACTCAAGAGAAGCTGAATACTACCCTAGAGTGGTCTTGGTAGTAGTGAAAGAAACAGGTTCTCTTTAGGTTAAGGGACTGTCTCATTTGGGCTGATGCTGTCTGTGCATGTCACTGAGGGTATGAAAAAAAATTTCCAGTTTCAGGAGTTCTCCCCTGCCTTGAAGTACTCATTTTATTGCCCATCAGAAACTATAGTGTCTAGCTTATTGAAAGAAGATGCAGGGATGGAGATGTGGTTCAGATGGTAGTACTTGCCTACTATACACAAAGCACTGAGTTCAATCCCTAGGACCATATAAACTGGGTATGGGGACACACCTGTAGTTCAAGCACTTGGGAGGTAGAGGCAGGAGGACCAGAAATTCAAAGCCATTCTCAGCTATACAATGAGTTCAAGGCCAGACTGAGCTACATGAGATCCTTTCTCGACATTTTTGAAGCACAATCCTTCATCTCATTTTCTACCATTAGTGTTAGTTCCAAGTTAGCACTCTTTTACTTCAATTTGAAAACCAACAGTATCTCCCGGGACACTGAAAGAATATACAGTTCAAGGGGGGGGGGGGGGGGGGGGGGAATCTAGGGGCTGGAGAGTTGGCTCAGCAGTTGGCTGCTCTTGCAGAGAATCTGGGTTCAATTCCCAGCATCCACATGTCAACTAACAACTTGCCGTAACTCCAGTTCCAGGGGATCCGACGCCCTCTTCTGACCTCCGAAGGCCTTACACGACATGGGTACACTTACATACATGCAGAAAATACACTCATACACTTAAAATAAAATAATAAATAATATTTTTAAAAAAATTAAGGAGTTTCTTGGAAAATCATTTCAGTTTGCTATAACTATAGTAAACAAATATGATAACAGCTGTGGAAAGGCAGGGTGATCCTCAGTGAGATCCATGTTCTTACCTGTCATCTGTAATTATGACTCATCAGAGCACTCCATTAAAATTTTTTTTAGTGTATTTAGTTGTTGGTATGTCTGTGTGTGTGTGTGTGTGTACAACAATATGCATGTGGAGGCCAGAGGACAACTTTTGCTGTTGGCTCTTTCCTTTCAACATATAGGACCCTATAGATCTAACTCAGGTTATCAGGCTTGGCAGCAAATACCATTACTCAATGAAACATTTCACCTGCTCTTTACTGCCTCCTTTATATCCAACTGCCTAGGTATATATTCTCAGCTGGGACTACAGTGGTTACATTTTCTGCAGTGATTGTCTAATCAAACAGAATATGACACAAATGTCTATCTCTCACATCATAAAAAAATTCCTTTGAGATAAGGCCTCATGTATCCCTGGCTAGCCTTGACCTTGAATTTGTGATCCTTCTGTCTTTACCTCCAGAGTGCTGGATTACAGATATGGGCCACATCTGGTTTTATGCAGGGCTGAGGATTGAACTCAGGGCTTTGTGCATGCTAAGAAACTAACTATTCTACCAACTGATGTACATTCTTAACCCTCATCTGTTTTGTATCAATTAGTTCTTTTCTCCTTTAGGAAGGAATGTATAACTCATTCCAATAGTGTACTGTTTAGGGTCAAATCTCAGAATTGAAGGGAACATATAGATTGTCTCATTTAATCTCATTATTGAGTCATGTGCTCATACCCCAAGAACAGCCCAATTTCTCTCTGGATCTTTTGCCCATTCTCCGCCTTTTCTCCTTTATGTGACTGTACTCAAGGGCTCAATATTACCTTTAATATTCTTGAGGAGCATGAACATGCTCAAATTTTCTCCAATGCTGCAAACATCCCTAGCTTATTGACATATGACACAACTTATAAATCCCTTCACTCTCTTGAATAGGTATGGTTTGTTTTCATTTTTCTTGGCATGCAGCTCAAATCTCATGGTCTTTGTTTAAGAGTTATCTTGACTACAAATACAGGCCTGCTTTGACAAGACTCATTTACAACTTAATGATCTGGGGTTCCAGTTGAAACTGCAGATTTTGGGGCTTTGTTACTGCTTGCAAAGTGTCTTTCAGTCTAAACTTGGTCAGTAATTAGCACTGTAGTCTATCTGGCACTGTTATCCTCAAAGTGAGCCAGTAAGAAGACGAATTTGATTCTGTGGCCATCATTATACATCAAGGGTAGGAGTGGTGGCACACACAATTCAGAAGATGGAGCAGAAGGACTGAGTTTAAGGCCAGTCTTGGGCACATACTAAGACACCACACATCCCTCCTGACCACATGGATCAGTAAACTAGCTCTCTCAAGCAGGAGAAGCAAGCAGTGGAGAGATCAGGCAACTAGAGAGCTCCCTAAACCTCACCTGATGAGCTGCGGCGTGGATGTTGCGCTTCTCATTGATGATCACATTGGGCAATTTCTTGTCTTTTCTTGGAGGACCTTCAGGAGCTTTAATAAGAAACCTAGAAACCAAAACAGTAGGAGAAGGAGTATTAAGGACTTAGTCAAAAGTGGGTGCGGTCACCCAGGCCCTTAATCCTAGCACTGGGGAAACAGGGGCAGGTGGATCTCTGTGAGTTGGAGGCCAGACTGGGCCACACAGTGAGATTCCATCTCAAAAAGGGAAAAGAAAAAGTACATGGAGTACACTTAAGGGCAGGCTGGGAAAACTGTGCCCTTCTAGGCCTCTTCCTTGTCTTACTGGTATCTCTTTCTTGTACTGGGTTTCAGGCCTATCCCGCCCCACTCGCCCCAGCCAGGCAGTGTCAGGTCCACATCCTTTGGCTTATTTGCCTCCTCGGCCTCTCTCTTCTCTTTCAAGAACTCTTTGATGACATCGTCCCCAGCAAAAGCTTCCTTTATCATTTGCTTTTGGTCTCTCTCCACTTCATCTTCCTGGGGAAAAAAAAAATAAGCGCAAGAATTACAGCTTGTCTTGTGAGTGCTTCACCACAAGTCAGCTTGGATTTTGGGTCATGACATTTTAGCGCCCCCTAGGGGGAAGTGCTGAAAGGATGATAGACTTGTAATACAAACCAATCAGTAGCGAATCATGCTCCAATGTCTTTTTCTCTAGGGTAAATATCCTTAGCTCTCTATCATATGGCACAGTGGGAGAAAGAATGGCCTTTGTCAATAGCAGAAGGTCCAAGTGGTCTCCCAGAGTGTGAGCTTCCTACAGCTAATGTCCCTGCAAAAGCATGTGACAGGGCACCTCATTTTAGCCTTGAATTGGGGTGGAGTCCCCACATTACAGGTAAGCCCCACTGAGTGGAGTCAAATCTTTGACAACAGCCTGAGACTCATCTTCCAGCTGTCCTGTCTGGGATGTAGCTAGAGCTTTTAATGACTCTCTCCTTCCTTCTAGGGCAGGTTTCTAGTCCCCCCAGGGAGCTTTAGAGGCTCAGGATTTAAGGAAGCTGTGTGGGTTCGTAGCCATGTTTACATATTTGTATCTATTAAACTAACACAGGGCCCAGCCTAGCACCACAATATGCTTGACCTCTGAACTACTGAAACATGCACCCAGCAAAACAAGCCTGCCCAGACTGTACTCCGTGTGTAAGAAGGAGGCTTTGTGTGACCATCTTTCATCCCCTACAATGCCCGTGACCCTGGCTGTGCTCACCAAGTCCTCTACTGTTGTGGGAACTGCCAGTGACTTCACAGAAGGAGTTTTTGTAGTCAGGAGGTTTTGCAGCTTGATCATTTGTTCCTTTTTCTTCCCCTTAGGCTGATTTTGTGGGTTCCTCTCCATCTGCTCCGGTTCTAATGCAGGTCTGGGAAGCTCCTTATTTTGTAGACATTCTTCTTTACCCAATGCATCTAGCTCCTCCAGAGTTTGCACTCTCTTTGGCCTCTGCAGCATCAGAGGCTCTTCTTCCTCTGGGGCACGTTCCTCTCTCTGGATCTGGAGGAAAGTCCCTGCTGAACTCCCATTTTGCTTCTTGGATTGATGAGTTTCCTTACTGAGTTTCTGAGACAATAACCTCAATTCTGATAACACCTCCTGGGAGTTAGAATCTGGAAGAAAAAAATAATGAAAGCTGTCAAAAAAGAGGTTCCCCAGTTAATGATTACTTGTTGGGCACCCACTGAGTGCTAGGAACCATGAAATACATTCTAACAAGGACAAACAGGCAAGAGAAGAGTCTCCATGCTAGATCTCTCAAAGAGTCCACTAATCACTACCTGTCAAGCGGCAAGCAATGGGGTTTAGTAGCTAAAGCAGAATGCTGGCAAGGAGATATCCTGGGTCCTATTCCCAGGTCACTGCCAAATGACTAGGACTGGGGTTTCATATCCATGTATAGTAAACCCTTCTAGGAAAGATCAAAGTTTTTTAAAATTTATTTTATTTTAATTTAATTTACAGGGGAGAGTACAAACACAGTCCCCTACTTCCACAAGTTATGCAGTTGAGTTTCCCATTTTTGGAGGAACCACAGGGGTCAGCATATCCGGAGAGCAACAGATAAGCCTCACCCTGGGAAAACCACCTTCATGATCATGGTATCTTGCCTGCCAGGTAAGTATTCTTTTTATTTATTTTTAAAGTATGGTGCTGGAATCCTGGTGTGGTGGCACATGCCTTAAATCCCAGCACTTGGGAGGCAGAGGCAGGCCCATCTCTGTGAGTTCAAGGCTAGCCTGTTCTACAAAGTGCGTTCTAGGCCAGCTAGGGCTACAGGGGGACCCTGCCTCAAAAAGGAACAAGTATTGTGCTGGAGCCAGGCATGGTGACACATGCTTTTAATCCCAGCCCCTCAGGAGATAGAGGCAGGTGGATCTCTATGAGATCAAGGCCAGCCTGGTCCACATAGTGACTTCCAGGAAGGCTGAGACTAGGGAGACTCTGTCCAGAAACAAAACAAAACACCCAACCAAACAACAAGAACAACAACAACAAAAAACCTAGACATGGTGGTCCACACTTGCAATCCTAGTACTCCAGAGATAAAGAGGATCAGAAGTTTAAGGTCATCCTTAGCTAGATAAAGAGTTTGAGGCCATCATGGGCTACATGAGGCCCTGTTTAAAGAAAAATTAAATCAGCTTCAAGGGCATGGACATTGTTTATATAAAATCTCTTCAAGAGAGTGGAGACATAGGTCAGTGGTATAGCATATGCCCTGAATTCCATCCACAGCATTATAATAAATATACAAACTTACCATGTAGCTGCCAGAACCATTCATTCTAGGGAAGTTTTGATCAAATAAAGACATATACAAACTAGCATTATGAAGTGCAAAAGTCACACTCCCACTTTATAAGAAAAACATAAACAAAATGACAAACTCCACCCATTTGAAGAAGCTTAACAATTTTTCCAAATCTACCTATGTTTGAAAAGATTTTAACATTTACTGTGCAGATGACTGCATATCAAATGCCTTGGAAGAAAAATGGTTAATATTAACCAAATTTCACTTCAGAGACCTAGTACACTCACTCTTGAAAGTTCCCAGAGCCTAATCACTATGCAGCATATGTGAGTGGACACTTCTGTCTGTCCACAGCAATATGAAGTTGTCCCTTCTACCTCGCCACAGCTCACCTTTTATTTCTTGGCTGCTTACTGGCTCAGCATTGTGTTTGAGCTCAGATCTTTTCCTAAGGGATCGCCTTTCCTCAAATTCTTCCAACAAAATCTCTTCCTCTGCCACTGGTCTTTCCTCTCCCTCACTTTCAGAAAAGTCATGGGCTACTGACTCAGGCAGTTGTTGAGGGTTGGTCTGGATTTCCTCCTCTTTTCTATCATGGTTGCAATTCCTATGCATCCAAGGATTTGGTCCATCAGCCGTCATGTGTACTCCATTTACTACATCAGGGACAAGGGCTTCTTCGTCTTCAGCACCTCCCTCCTCTTCCTCCCTCTCAGACAATACTTGGAGTTTCTGCGTCAGTTCTTTGTTCTTAGCCAGTTGTTCCTGCATAGCTTGGCGGGCCTGGAGGAAGGGGTCACAACATAGGAGCTCTGTCATTAGTGACCACAGTAACACCTTTCTTGCTCCATTTTTTTTTAGAATAAATGCTTTTTTAAAAATTTTTAAATTTTATGTGCATGCATATATTGCCTGCATGTAGATAAGTGCACCAGTGTCGTGCAATGCCTGTGGAAGACAGAAGAGGCTAATCCCCTGGAACTGGAGTTATGGACAGTTGTTAGCTGCCATGTGGGTGCTGGGATTTGAACCTGGGTCTTGTGCAAGAATAGTCATTGTTCTTTATCGCTGAGCCATCTCTCCAGCCCCTCCTGCTCCATTTTAAGGCTGCCTCCTTTCTTTTCTGAGACAGGGCCTGAACTTGTGAGCCTCTTGCCTTGGCTTACCAAGCACTGGGTTTATAGGTATGTATCCCAACATTTAGCATGAGCTGCCTCCTTTCCATTTACTTTTTTTCTTGTAGTGCTGGGGATGGAACCCCAGGTCTTGAGCATGCTATCAGGTGCTCTACTGCTGAGCTACAATCCCAGTTTTTCCAATGAACTTGGCATTTCGTACTGATGCCTACTGTTTAAACTGTTAGTAGCCATGGGATAAAACAAGAAGGCAAATTATCCCTAAGGAAGCAACAAACGAAACATGATTCTAAAAATAAAAAAGCTCCTCTCTCCTTTACTAGACTTGCCTTGATGCTATTTTCCTTTCATCTTTTTCCTGGTCATTTTCCTCTCTGCCCTAAAGTTTCTTTCTGATGTCTTTTTTACATTCCTGGTTTTTCATTCATCCCCATGGCTTTTCCCCAACTCTGTTCTGCTAGTATCCTTATGTATTGATTTTCTTTGTTCCTTCCAGTTCCATCTCTTCTTGTCTTGTTGGTCTCTTACCTCCAGGTCGTATTTTGCCATAATTGCCTTTGACTTGGCCCATTTTCCACTGTTTTGATGCTTAAGGCTCATTCGCTCCTGGAAAGGAAGGACAGAATGAAATCTTTTTAATACTTTGTATGCAAAGTTGCTGCCAAGGTGTGGGAAATAAGAGGCAATCTCACCATCATTCTGGCCTTCTCAATTTTTTCCAGTTCTTCCAATGCAGCACTTGGATCGAGCTTCCTCAGCTGCTCAAAATCTTTTAGGGCTTTCTTGGCTTTTCCTTTCTTTTCAATTTTGTGGTATCTATAGGGTAAGAAGGGAGGCAGGAGGAGATTAGATTTAGTTGAACACTGATGCCACATGTAAAAGCGCCATGTAGAAGCACAGTCCAAAGACTTTCCTGGATTCAGAGCCCACTCTGCAGATCCATTCCATACATGATGCTTTGAAAGGAGAGTGAGTAACCCAGCAGTCCTTTTTCTGTCAAAGTCAAGTACGAGGGCCAGAGCCAGAGGGCAAGGCATGACTGAAGCAGGCACAACTATGTGAGACTGGTTTAGGAAAAGATGACCAGTTATTTCTACTTGAGAGACCTTTCACATAACCCTAACTGCCATGTCTCCAATGAATTTATGATTAATCCCATCATTTTTTTCCGCAGGATCCACAGATTCCTTACTTTTTACTTTTGATTTTCTTCTGTCTTCGAGCCCTGGCCTCATAGTAGGACTGCAGAGCTCGGGCCCTCTGGAGCTCTGCTCGGCGAATCTTAGCCTACAAGGAATGACATTCACAGTGACTCCTTGACATGTGGTCAAATGGCAGGAGCATAGTATGCTGGGTGTGTGAAATAGCCTACAACACTTACCTCTTCCAAGCTCATAGCTTTGAGGGAGGCTTTTTCCACAGGAGTCAGTAAAGGGTCTGTCACTGGCTGCTTGTTCTTATGAAGGAGGTTAAAAACTTCCTGCTCCAGTGGGGTTTTTGCCTTAAGGAGGTAACAAAACATTTTAAATCTTCTGCCACACTTTTATAGCACTCTCTCAACCCTATGACCATCTATGACATTATAATTGGAGTCACTACCTGGACAGTCAAAACAAGGTTCTAGTCTTAGCTGTTCAGAGGTTTCTTTCTTTTTTGAGATTAACATCTTGCTTTGAGATACGGCCCTGGCTATCCTGGAACTCACCATGTAGTCCAGGCTGTCCTCAAAACCAGGATGTTTCTCCTGTTTCAGCTTCCCCAGCGCCCAGATTTACACGCATGTGCCACCACACACAGCTTGAATTTTTAAAAATTATAATTTAAGACAATTTTAGCAAGGGGATGCAGGTACTCTCTAATATTGCAAAGGGGGAGGTCATTCTTTGTTCAGTTACCAGTATATACAAAATAGAACCCTATTCTCTTAAGAACCTAAGCAGGATGCCCTTATGGCAAATGATGGTAGGATAGTAGCACCAGACTGTCAAGTTAGGTTTAAAATAAAAAACAGGCCTGGACCTGCACCACCGGCTAACTCTCCTGGCCTGCTCTCCTATTCTCAGGCCTCTTGGGGTGGGTCTATCGCGGAGCCCTCCGCGCCTTGACTCCCCTGGCCTCATTCGCCCTTCCATCTCCCCCGCTGTTCCTTGTATCAGTACAGTGGTGTGTGGGAGATGTTTTTGATTGTCCTGACTGATGCACCATTTGACATATAAGGAGACAGACAGGCAGCATCTAACTCATCCTTGCCTACATAGGATTGGCACTATTTTCTGAAACTATCAAAGTCTTTTTCTCAATCCTATTAACAGTAAATGAAGGGAATACAAACACAAAATGAATACAGGCTTGCTAGGCATTCAACCCTAGTGTGTGCTGGCCAAGTCATTCTTTCTTAAGGACAAAGATCAAAAATAGATATACCAAATGGCTGATAATAAAATTTCCTTAACTCGTTCCTACCCTCAGGCCTCTCTTGGGGTATGTCTATCGCGGAGCTCTCTGCGCCTTGACTCCCCCAGCCTCATTCACCCTTCCATCTCCCCCGCTGTTCTCTACTCCTAGTTTGGGCCCTGTGCCATTCCTAGTCTTGGGGCCCCAGACACCTGGGGAGCCAATACTGCTTCCTGACCCTTTTCACCCAGACCAACATGGTGCCTTCCTTGGGACCCAGGGGCACTGCTTCAGGACCTGGCCCCGCCCTTGCCTCTCTCTGCTTCCCTGGACCTAACTCTCCTGCCCTCAGGCCTCTCTTGGGGTAAGTCTATCGCCAGCCCTCCGGGCCTTGACTCCCCCAGCTGCATTGACCCTTCCATCTCCCCAGCTGTTCTCTACTCCTAGTTTGGGTCCTGTGCCATTCCTAGTCTTGGGGCCCCAGACACCTGGGAAGCCAATGCGGCTTCCTGATTCTTTTCGCCCAGGCCAGCTTGGTGCCTTCCTTGGGCCCCAGGAGCACTGCTTCTGGACCTGGCCCCGCCCTCACCTCTCTCTGCTTCCCTGGACCTGCACCACCGGCTAACTCTCCTGGCCTGCTCTCCTATCCTCAGGCCTCTTGGGGTGGGTCTATTGGGGAGCCCACTGTGCCTTGACTCCCCCGGCCTCATTCACCCTTCCATCTCCCCTGA